ATTTACTGAATTTTACTCGATTTTATGAACTTCACTCATTTTTTTGAAATTCAATCAATTTTCTGAATTTTATTGAAATTTTCCAATTTCACCAAATTTCCTAATTTTATCAATATTTCTAATTTTATAAAAAAAATCCCAATTTTACAGATTTTTCTTAATTCCTAATTTTACTGAATTTCTAATATTACTAAATTTCCTTACTTCCTAATTTTACTCAATTTTCTAATTTCCTAATTTTACTCAATTTCCTAATTTTACTGAATTCTTTAATTATTTACGATTCTTTAATTTTCCAGAATTTTCTAATTTACTAGAATTCTCGAATTTTTCAGTATTCTCCAAATTTCCAATTTTTCACAATTTTGCAATTTCCAAATTTTTCCCAATTTTTCTGAATTTTATTGAATCTAATAATCTGATTATTTTATTGAATTTCCCAATTTTACTGAAAATCCAATTTTTTCTGAATTTCCTAATATTACCAAAATTTTCCAATATTACCGAATTTCCTAATTGTTCACAATTATATTTTTTCACAATTCTCTAATTATTCACAATTTTCCCAATTTTTTACATTTTCCCAATTTTTAACAATTTCTAAAATTTTTCACAATTTTCTAATTTTTCAGATTTTGCAAAATCTTCAAAATTTAGCAATATTTCAGAATTGTCTAATTTTCAGGAATTTTCTAATTCTATTTTTTAATTTTTGTAATTAGTTTAAAATTTGTTTGAGTTTGTAAATGAATGAAGATAAAATCATTTGTCGAAAATAATTAACATGTTTGGCAAATTTAGAACAAAATCAAAATTTATAATTAGAAATCACTCGCAAATTAATATATTGATTTAATGAATAAATCTATCATTACATATATCAGGAAGATCTTGCAATTTTCCTCATGGCAAAATGTCACTTAGAATGACATTTCTGTCCTGTCTACCAAAGCAAAAATGCCAATTTGTATGTTCAATACCTGTTACGTAACGAGCAAGAACAAAATCGGAGTTAACCTATATATTTATTTTGGCATTTCTATCTAACAGGTATCATAAAACACATTTGCCTACTTTTGGGACGAATTTATGTCATACATGTAAAATTTTTACTACATAACGAACAAAAAAATAAAATAGTAATAGATAGATTAAATAGTATGTGAAAGTAATAGTTGGTAAAAAAATCTTCCAAATTTTCTAGACCAACATTATTCTAATTAGTCGAAAAACTCATTTCCAGTTAAAAACGACTTTTGCTCTGATTCATACAAAATTCCAATTTGGGTAAGTATCATTTCCCAGAATTTTCCCATTTTTACAGTCACCTTTTATTCTACTAATTTTATTTATCTTATCGTAAATGAATGAAAAAAATGTTCAAGTTCAACAGATAATATTTATTTCGCCGTCACTGCATTTAATTTAACGAGATAATCCGTGATTGATCGAGTGCTCATAATATCGTTATCGTTTGCAAATTCGATAAATCGAAGCTTATTTATGTAAATTCGATGATAATAAAAGTTATAAATCGATGCAGATAATAAATAATATGACGTCAAAAGTGGTGAAAAAGAAATAATGAAAGCAAAAGCTTTAATTTGGAAACAAGTAGTGATTTTTTTCATCTTAATAACTAACATATATTTTCTTATTCGAGATCTCCATAAAACTCTTCTTACCAAGTTTTTACTATCTCATAAAATTCATCCCTTGTTTGTTTTGCAAATGAGTTAGCCAAAAAAAAGAAAGTTTAGAAAGAAAATATGGGCCGACGTAGAAAAAATGCATCGAATCTTTCTCTTATCGAAAAGATCGTCTACGACTAATATGGCACGTACTGTTTGCGAAAAATAAATAAATAAAATAGAGCGAATGTGATGGCATACATATGAAATGTGATTTTGGGTTATTTATGACCCATATTTGAGTATGTTATATATATATATATATATATATATATATATATATACAGGAAAGAGTTATGAGAAGTTTCAGTACTGACCAGAAGGTTTGAGCACCTTTAGTATAAAAATAAAAACAATATTCGAGTTACTAATAAATCAAAAGCATAAATAATATTAATAGTACACAGATTACGATTGTAAATAAATATAGTAATAATAGTGCACAGATTACAGAATATAAGATTAAACAAAATTTAAGAAAATTTTAGTGTTCAAACCATTTTTTTAGAATGATGTAATTTTTTGCAAATTCTGTAGTTTATTACAAACTCTTGTTAGAAATCTCGATACACAAAAATATTCTAACAAAATTCGAAGTAATATAGCAAAATTCAAATTCACTACATTTTTAGGAAAAGGTGATTTTTTATAAAAAATGTGATCTTCCTAAGCAAAATGAATTTTTTAATCGAAATGTGTATTAGCAAAATGTATTTTTTATAAAAAATCGTAATTTTTGAACAAAATGTTATTTTGGTGACAATGGTCTTTTATTTAAAAACTTGAAAGTGTTGTATACACAACCAAGTCATGAGACTTGAAAAAAATCAGAAATTCTCAAACAATTGCGAAAATTTTCCATAAATACCAAAAATCCTCAATCAATATCGTCAACACACAGAAGTCAACATTTTCAATCAGAATCGAAACGTTTAAGAAAAATCAAAAAGTTTCGAGAAAAATGAGAAATTTTCCAGCAAAATCAATAATTCCAAGCAAATGCAAATTTTTTTTTACTAAAACCAGATACTTCCAATTAACATTTGCAATTTAAGTACAACTAATAAGCACAACCTAAAGATTTAAAGCAAATAAAAAAACTTAATTTTTTAAACAAAAAAATTATGAATTCATGAAAAAATTAAAATAATAGAATTTAGAATTATTGAAAAAAAAAATTTTCAACCAGAATCAAAACGTTTTGACAAAAATCAAAAAGTATCGGAAAAAATGAGAAATTTTCAGGCAAAATCAAGAATTTTCAATTCAGATTTTTTTAACGAAACCTTCCAAATAACATTTGCAATTTCAGGAAAAAACTACGACTAATAAGCACGACCTGAACATTTTAAGCCTGAAATTTTCAAGGACAGCCTTAACAAAAATTTTTAAGACGAAATTGAAGATTGAATTTTAAGATGAATTTTTAAGATGATATGAATTCATGAAAAAATTAGGTATATAGAATTTAGAATTACTTTGAAAGAATTGTGGCAAAAATTGAAACTAAATTAAAAACACTAGACATATTGAAAATTAAAAAAAAGAATAAGAAAAAAACAGTAAAAATAAAATATTAGTTACCATGATTAAAAATTGACGATAGCACACTTTATTGAATTTTAATTCCAAACACTACATTATCGATGTAAAATTGAAACTAAACTACAAAACATCATCTCAACTTATTTTAATATTTATAATAACAGTCAATATTTGTGCAATAAGACAATGCAATGCGATTAAATTTGAATGCTAATATTTACTATAAATTATGTGATAAGATAATTTTAACCGCAAACTAAAAGATAATTAGTTATTAAAGATAGTTGTGCTGTCTAAATGATTATTTTTCCATAAAGTACAGTAAAACCAGTTTTTGCGTTGCATTTGAGACATTTTATTTACATATAAATTACTATTTGTATATAAATAAACATTTGAGAATTAACAGTGGCGTTTTAAGAGAAAACCTGCCATTATTTGTACATTTTGCTCGAAATCTCCGAAACGACTGGACCTGACCTTGCCAAAAACTAATCACCACCTCTCCCCATCATTACGAATTGAATGTTTTTTGGAATTTTGAAATCGGATGCTCCATTCTCAAAAACTTGATTTCTGTTTTCTGCACTCTTTGCTCCGTATCTCCGAAACGGCTGGACCTGCATTTGCCAAAAACTAATCAGCACATCTTCCTGTCAATAGGAATCTAATGTTATTTTAACCATTTAAATCGGTTTATCCGTGCGCCCGAAAACGTGGACGAAAAATTGCGGACACAAAACAAACACACATCCATTTTTTCTTAGGTATGCCAGAATGTTCAGAAACCTCTGAAACGTAAAAATATGCAAAAATTTATATTTTCGATTTTTGGTACATTATTATAAAAAACGCACTGGATTCACATCAGTAGTCAAGACAAGATAGATTTTTTATTAAATCAATATTAAAGTTATCAATATTATAAATAATATTAGGTTGTCAAATATCTCCCTTCCGCTTTTTTGCTCTTGGTTATATACAAAAAGGCGGAAGGGAGATATTTGACAATCTTATATATTATTAGATTATTAGAAATATAAAAAACACTACGGAAAGTTATTAAAATTAAATTTGATCCAAAAAGAAATTGTAAAACTATTTGATTTTGTAGACGTGAGTCATGGATAGAACTTTGCATACAAAGTTAACGTCGAAAGACAATACTACTGTGTTATGCAACTAAAGTCAAAACTGCACAAAAACCAGTTTTACCGTTATCTATTTGGTTTATTGAATACATAAATAATTATAATATCAAATATATATCATCAGAATGTTATATAATAACAACAACTGCAGTCAACACTCCGATGACGCATTGAGTGGGTACCAAGTAATATACAAATCGCATTTCTATATGGAGACTAATAAATCTGAAAACCAAATTGTAAATATTCATTGTATTGAACATAAAAAAATGTAATATAAGCTGAATTAAAATACTATTTTCCAACAAAAACTGATTATTTTAAAACTGACTAAGAAGCCTTGAAAGTGCTAAAACCGATATCGTACACAGCTATGATAAAACCTGGCATGTACATACAAACAAACTGTAAAAGTTAAAACAATCGCTAACAAAACTGATATTTCAACCTTTTACACAAAAATTCTAAAGTTACTACAAGGTTATTCATAAGTCGCACTCAAAGCACGTGCGCAAACAAAAACCGTGTTAAAGCCCCGCGTAGTACAGAAACCGCGTTTCAGGAGGGTTCACAAACTCAACAAATATATCATATATCCATAAATAATACTCACTTATCACACTAAGTTATCCAAGAACTCCAATCCAAATAAAAATTTCGCTATCCCACTGGCCTGCTAATTTCGGCTTCTCGAGCATACAACGACGGAATCGACCCGGGTTGCTTTGGCGTCCCGGGTCGATACGCCGTTGATGTTGAGCCTGCCAAAGGCAGACAGAAACTAAGCTCTAGAGCTCGGAATTTGTCGTAAGGTCGACTGTCCATAGACCATAGACAATGTATAGATGAGAACGTCTGTTGGTAAACAAATCGATTGAAGGTGAGTCAAAATATCAATATTGAAGATGGAAGTGCCCTCTGGGTGGTGTGAATTGGTATTAGAGTTTGATTCTTGTGAAGAAATAACAGCTGTTTATTTTCAGTTTTTTTTTTTTTTTTAAAAAGAAATTTTCATATACAAAATTTGTACAATTTATTTTAAAGGCAAACAAAAATAATTTGATACAACAAACAAAATTAACAAGTTAAGTGATAAATATTTATTACTATTGAAGATCAAACATTCTAATTATAAAATTGGCAATGAAAAGAAATCTTATGTGCAGAAAATTAAAAATAAACTGTTGTAAGCGGTATTTTACCTTAAGGCAAGTTGCATGTACTTTCTGATATGCGTAAATAATCTATTTAATCAATAATATAATTAATAATTATATAATTATTTCAGTATGTATAATCTATTTATTTATCTGTAACTATTAATTTATGTACCTGTTTACCTGTCTACTCATTTATCTGCTCGTATACTTGCCTGTATGTCTACCTGTTAACTTATCCACCTATTCACCTATTTTTCTGTCTACCTGTTCACCAATTTATCTGACTACCTGTCTACCTGTCTATCTGTCCACCAATTTACCTGACTACCTGTCTACTTGTTCATAAGCTTACCTGGCTATAAGTTTATCAATCTATAAGCCTATCTGATAACATGTTTATATAACTTTTTCACCCGATTATCTGTTTGCCTGTCTACCTGTTTACTTATCTACCAGTTATAACTTCCAACTCGCTTATCTTTTTTTAACTTGTCTACATATTTTTCTATTTGTCTACTTGGGGCGTCCTGAAATCACGTGATCGACTTTTTAAGGATTTTTGGACTCATCCCTTTCCCTTCGTGTTATTCAAAATTACCCCCTCCTCGCCCACGAGAATTGTAAAGTTTTTGATTTTTTTTTAAAATATTTGGATTTTGTTTAAAAAATCAGGTAAAAAATACACTTGATATCGTACTATACCCCTCCCTCTCTCAGGTGATATTTTGTCATTTTTGTCAACACCATAATATAACATAATTATATATTATTTTATTTATTTATATACCTGTCAACGAAGTTACCAATAATTCTATTTGTTTTCCCTCAAGAAATTTCACAAAATAAATAAATAAACAAAATATTAGTGACAAACTGGAACAAACTATGTAAAATTTTAATATAAAATCAGTTCTTACAATCTACTATAAGATTTAACAACTAGCTTATCTAATAAATAAATAAATAAACGAATAAATAATACAACTAAGGAAATGATATTCTGACTTTCTTACAATTAAAAAAAAACAACGAACTGCAGATTATTATTTGAAATGCTCCAAATATTTAAAAAAATCCTAAAAAGAAAAATTTTCATATAGGTTGCAATCCATTTATAAAAATATTGCATATGAGTTTATATTCTAATTAAGACTTGCTTTAAAAAAATTAGACTTGCTCCAAATATTAAAAAAAAATCCAAAAAAATCTCATATGTGTTACAGTCCTTTCATAAAAATTAATAGTTAGGAGGCGTTAGGAGTTTATTTTCTAATTAAAAAATTCTAAATTAAAATATTTAACATTATTACTCTAATATCGTTTTTGGGCATCGTGAATTGCCTGATGGTAGTAGTCTGAGGTCCTTTCGTAGGGTCCCCAATCGTAATATGGCGGTGAACTACCATAAAGGCCATGGGCGTAGCTCGTCGATGCTACCTGAAAATTTAAAAAAAAATATTAGTGAACCCCAAAACAATAAAATTTAAATGAACTAGAAAATATGGAAGTTTATTCTCGGATAAGATTTTTAATTAATCTTACTTCCTACTTGCTTGTCGTCTAATGGAACAGTTGGCTACAAAAATCTGCCAAGATAAAGGATAGAATCTAAATAAATCAGATGTTATGTGATATTAAATTTACAACTAGTGGTGTATGGCATCGTGCCTTAAGACAAATTGCTGAAACTTCCCGTACCGTTATGAAATATTCGAGTAATTGTAAACGTTTTCAAATATATTATTACAAATACTGTAACTTTCATTATTTTTGCTATCTTGTTTGTTATATCTTAGCAAATCAAATGTAAATCTTTATTCAATTTATCTCCAGAACATTAACAATCGTCATTTCATTTCGAAGTCAAATAAAAAAAAAATAGTTGCCTAATTTACACAAAATTGAAAAAGTGCTCCCGTATAGTCACAGTGCATTTGCAAATAATTCTGTGCGACATTTTCACTTATACTGTGCTTAGCTTGGCGGCTTTTTCACATTTTTCAATAGTTTTCACAAAATTTGAAATGTGCTCCAATACATAAACAGTCTAAACGCACTTGGATAAACATTTGTACCAGAGTGGCGCTTAGACTGTGCTTAGCCTGGGTAATTTTTTGAATTTTTAATCCAAAATTACAAAACATTTTATGAAAAATAGAAAAAGATGTAATAATTTTTTATCCTCAAAAGCAATTGTTTTTGTCAATACAAGCAGAAAGTTTTTTAGGTCATGCAAATCGGACGCTTAGTTCATTCGAAAACTGCCATTTTTTGAACATTTAGCTCAGTATCTTCGAAATGGAGGGACCTGTCTTTGCCAAAAACTAATCACCTCTTTTTCCAATCGTTACAAATTGAATGTTTTTTAGATCATTCAAATCCGATACTTCATACTCTCAAAAACTTGATTTGTATTTTCTGCACTCTTTGCTCCGTATCTCCGTAACGGCTGGACCTGCCTTTGCCAAAAACTAATCAGCACATTTTCCTATCAATAGGGATCGAATGCTTTTTAAACCATTCAAATCGGTTGATCCTTGCGCCCGAAAACGTGGACGAAAAAATGCGAACATACAAAACACATACACACACATACATCATTATTTTCTGAGGTATGCCAAAATGTTCAGAAACCTTCAAAAGTCAAAAAATTTCATTTTCGATTTTCGGCCTATTACTTTAACTACCCTACGGGAAGTTAATAAATGTAACTCCTATTCATATTTTTGCGGATGTATTCACAATTCTTTACTTTTAACTTTTTTCTAATATATATTTCTTCCTATCGTTTCGATAAATCTATTTCATTTTTTGAGATCTGGCTGTGTACCAGTTAACCGTGTAGTAGATAATGAGGAACCTTCTTCAATCCCTGCAAAGACGACAGCAACAGTGCCATCTTCGACAGGAGCAACGCCTTTCCTCCTAGAACTGCCAGGAATTGGAAACCCATGGGCACCAGGACCATCCCCATCAGGGTTATGCCGAACATCATTATTGGCATCATCTTGTTGGCCTTGGTATGACTATGACGACCTCTGGCTAAGAAAAAGATACATGGTAGGTTATTGGTTGACCTAAAATACAATTTGATAAGAATTTGTTTGAAAATGATTTTTATACCCGGAGATCCAATGACTGAAGTGGCATTGGGTTTAGACAATCTAAGTTACTACCAAAAATTTTCTGATGTGGATTAGTGCAAAAATTAAAAAAAAATATAAAAACACTTGGAGTTTGATGGTCATTTAATAGATATTTAATATCAACCAAAGTTGATATCTCTAACTTAGCTCTAACTAACCAAAGTTAATTTAATTAACTTAAATCTCTAACTAACCAAAAGTTAATTTAATATGGAAATTTTAAAGAAGATGTAACTTTTATCAGTTTCCACTGATTTTTTAGTGCCAAATAAGGTCAATATCTGATCTAGTTAATGTTTACCTGTTTCAACTAAGTTCTTAAGATCAACTTGCAATACATGATCTTCCAAGGAATCAGAAACATCATCCAAAACTCTAGCAATCCAACCTTTGTTCCTGGATTTTCGTTCTTCATAGACATCAGATGAATTTCTGCAAAAAGTTGACCAAAAATATATAGATAGAATAGATTCGACAAATTTCTGCAGCTCATTTTGTATGTTTTTTTTATTATTATTATTACCTAGAATTGTTGCTATTCTTGACCAGTTTCACACCATCATACAAAGTAAGGGTATCGAAATTAAGAGCCCTCTTAATTCGAAAGAGACTTTCTTCTTTCATACACTCCATCATTGGTTGCAGTCCTTTTTTCTGAAAAAATATGAAATGAATAAATAATAAAAAATGATTTAATAGAATTGAAAGTTTTTGGTGAAACAGAGGTATAGGGGCCAATTTTTGATAAAATAAAAATCAGATAAAATAGAAAATTTAGATGTAAAATTTTGCAAAACTCCTTGGTCAATTTTTATTCTTCATTGTCAATTTTCAGATAAAATAAAAATATTATGTTAGGGGTCTATCTTCGTATTAGTTGGAGATAAAAACTGTCAAAAAGCTGTGTATTTGCAGTATGATCAAGCGTTTTATATATAAAACCTAACTTGACGTATGTGTTAACAATGAGACATCAAAAAGTTGCACTTATTATAAAATTGTTATCTGACGTTAATGCGGTTTGGAGGTTAAATTTTATGTGTAAAACGCCTGATCATACTTAAATCATAGATTTTTGACAATTTATCACTACCAACTCGTACAAAGACATTTTTATTTTATCTGAAAATTGACGATGACCAATAAAAATTGACCAAGGGGTTCTGCAAAATTTTACATCTAAATTTTTGTTGAATCGAAATTTTAAATCGCTATCAATTCTTGCTTATATATTCTTTATTTGAATATATTGAAAATTTTTAAAACCGTATTTTAATTTTTTTTTTGTGTTCAGAAATTTTAACATTTTTGTCTCCAATAACATATCTACTTATTAAAAACAGTCTTGATGATATCGAAGTCTGTTTATTAAATGATTTTATAACCGCACATAATTTGTTGTTATGTACATATTGTGTATATTCCTTATTACTTATTATTCATGATTATAAATTAAAAATGATCTAACATTTATTTACAGAACAGAAAAGTCTTAAAATTCAATATCCCATCATACACCATGAATCGTCTGTCTAATTCCTGGCATATTGATGGTATCAATTTCCTATTTTTTCAACACCAAAAATCCCTGTTTTTAAAATAAATTACTTCCATAATTCATAAAATAAAAATTCTTATTCAATTCCTATAAATCTTATTTATGACTTATTTTGTTTCCACCAGGAAACCGTTAACAAGACGACGTTGAAAATAAATGACTGGTAATAATTTAGTAAGATTAGAAGCCTCTGGTAATTAATATAAATGATTTTAATCAATTATTATATAATTCACCTGGTGTAGGTGTGTATCATCATTTAATTATGAAGCCACTAATTATAGACACAACTCATGGAATACTACAAGAATGGATCAGAGATGTGGACTATAAGTAACATTGACAAAAACTAACTCTGAAGACGAAAAGGAGAATTCAAGTTAATAAATGAAATTCGGTCAAAAATTCAGTCAAAATATATAATTTGGACCTCGATTTCTCTCTCCATTAATTAATTAATTAATTTATTTATTAACTACCCCAAGAAGTTCATATATTAATATTTATATATTTGTATTTATTACATGGTACATATTAAAAGTTTCAAAAGCAAACTTGATGAATAATGTTTTTTTTTAACTTATTTGCTAATTATTTCATATATATATTAGGGTGGTCCTTAACATGGATATTTTCGAGTCTTTGATCCCAGGATCTCAAATGCTTCCAAATTGGTAAAAAAAACATTCTCTGAATATTTTATCTTTTAATAGTAACTTTATGATAGTCCGCACCCCAAACAAACTTTCTTATGGAAATAACATGGGTAAAATTTTATTTGTTTTTTTGAGCGTCAAATGAATCAAAATTTTGAGAATAACACTGTATTTGCTTATTTTGATCATGAATACAAAATTTACAACAAAAATTTAATCTATTTTATAAAATAAATATCTGCTTATGAGGAAAAACCAAGAAACTTTGGTTAAAGTGCGGACTGAGTTAATATTAAGAGCTATTCAGAGAATGTTTTTTTTATCATTTTGGAAGCATTTGAGCCCCTGGGAGCGAGAAAATTCGAAAATATCCATATTAGGGACCACCCTAATAAGTATAATTTTTCATTACCTCATTGAAGCAATTCCTAAAAAGTCCAAAAGCTTTGCTGGAACTCCTGTTCGTAACCGGAACACTATGACAAATTCTAAATTGGAAAAGTACTAAAATTAAAAAAATTGTTTCTAGGCACAAAAACTTTCTTAGCACTGTCGACATCCTTGCACCATTCCTAAAACAACTAATAAATTGTAAAAATAAAAATGATACAAAATTTTAAAGCAACTATTCTATTGTAAAAATTAAAAATTTATCTATTATTCGGCAGAATTATTAAAAACAAATAATAGAATCGATCGTGATACATTGTTTTATATATGCATAGTAAAATTTTCACGGTTGATGAAATGGTAATTGGAGACGCGATATGGTTGATGAATTTTTGGTGGCAGCGGTTGAAAGCAATTTAATAAAAATAATTTAAATTAAATTAAATTAAATTTTTGTTACTGTCATTGGCAAAAAGCAATCCATTCTTCTATCCTCTTACCTCTTCATTACAAAAGTCATCTCGAGAATCATCCAAATTCACTTGCAAGTTATCTACGCAACAAATGTGTAAGAGCAAAATTGAAAAAAAATGTTCATGTTATATTAACACAACAAATGTGAATTTTCAAAATCTCCAGCAAAAGTCAGATTTTTTTTTTGAATAAGGAAAAAGCACATTATTCACATAAAATTGATCCAGAAACCTTCCGGCAGTAGAGTTTTTTTTTGTTTCCAAAGATTTGTAGTACATTTTTTATGTCACGTCGGTTAATTTTATCTTTTTCCTTTGTCTTCAGCTTTATATCTTCATTAGAGTCCATGTCTCTGATCCATAAGGAGCCATAATTGTAGACTATATAAATTTTTAATTACTAGAAACTATTACAATCAATCTAGTAGAGTAAAAAAAAGCTGCCTATGAGTTAGAAACTAAATGTAAGTAGTATTTTAAAAAAATGTTGTCCTCCGCTGCCTTCAAATTGATCGTCCACAATCACTATAATCAATGGTCAATTTATTTATCGACAGTTCATCTTCAACATACAATTACTACTTATTGACCGTCCATTTAGTTAGTTTAGTTTTGGTGACATTGTCGTTTTTAGTCGAAAATTATTAGACCGTGCGACATGGTTTAATTTAATTATTAAAACTATGTTATAAACAAAAACTAATAATTATTAGTGAGGAAGGAAAATTTCAAAAAATGGAATCTCAAAATTTCAAAATTTGGAAAAAATGAATCAGGTATGAATAAAAATAAGTAGTAAGACAATTTATGTGCTTGTGATAAGAGAGCGAATATTTAAGATTAAATTTATTTTTTAAATACCCATTCTATGAAGATTAAAATAAATTTGACCCAAAAAAATTAAACCCATAACAATATATTAGTTTAGCTATATGGAAATAGAAATCTGCAACATCTTGTATTTTTTTACAAGAAAGTCTTCTTAGAAAAATCTCTTTATTATGATAATCTTGCACTTTGTGCAATGATATCATTTTTTATAAAAAAATTATGCATGTACAGTCCAATTTATTTGACAAAGTGCAACTTTTTCTGCAAAGTTGATACTTGTTATAGTGATATATTGATTTCAGCTAGAAAGTCCGTAAAAAAAATAAGAAATCCCTGGTATTTTTATGGCAAAATTCTCTTATCAAGTCTCTTAATTATTTGTGTCTAGTGCAGCACCTTTTTATATTAAAATTAAAAACAACTACCTATATTAATATTCTTTGTACATCGTTTTCAAACATTTCCAAAAAGTAATTAATAAGCAAATTGTCCCCTGATTCGATTTTCGCCAAAAATAACGACGCCTCTAAATTATTTGTTTGATCCTCGAGGACGAGACTTTTAATCCAAAGAAAACTTTGGCAAAGAAAATTTCTGAATGAATTTATAATGGAGCGATATGTAAATTTTTTGTGGATGCCTTTTGAAAAGTTTAAAGTGTTTTTTGGTATATTTTTAGTCAAGTCAAAACGCAACATGGTCAAGAGAAAAGCAGAAAAGTTAAAAGCACGTAGGAAGAAAAACTTTTAATAATTTTTTTGCTCTTGCCTTGATACAATTGTTTAATCTAAGGTAACTTGCCTTAAGGCAAAACTTCTTAGAAAAAAATTAAATAGATAAAATATCTTCTTCGTATTAATTAAGCCTTTATAAGTTTCTAAATAAAATACATGACATTTATTTAGAAAATAATCTGTATTAAAGAAATATATATTTATATAATTATCATTCTATAATTATAAATATCAATAACAGCTTTTTCATAGGTTTGTATAAGTTTTGTTTTTTATAGAAACTTTAATTAGTTTTCTTTCTAAAGACACAAGCTCTGTCACAAACTTTTAGACATTCATTCATAATAGTTGCACTAACTTCATATAAACTTTGAAAGTTTGTGCAATATATCACTAGGATAAAAAATTATTAATATATATATATATATATATATATATATATTAGGGTGGTCCTTAATATGGACATTCTCAAATTTCCTTGCTCTCAAGGGCTCAAATGGTTCCAAGTTGATAAAAAACAATTCTCTGAAAGTTTTAGCTCTTAATATTAACTTTTAGATAGTGCGCAATTCAATCAAAGTTTTGTATGGTAATAGCATTGAAAATTTTTTGAAAATTATATGTTTTTCTTAGGTATAGCTCGAATTTTGAATAAAACTCATTTATTTGTTCGCTAAATTATATCTAAAAAACATTTTTTAAATTTTTGAAAATGTTTTCATGCTATTACCATACAAAACTTTGATAGAAATGCGCTCTATCTAAATGTTGATATTAAGAGCTAAAACTTTTAGAGAATTATTTTCTATTAATTTGGAAGCATTTGAGCCCTTAGGAGCAAAGAAATTCGAAAATGTCCATATTAAGGACTACCCTAATATATATATAAGAAGAATTAAATGATGTGCATAGAGAAAATAGTGTGATGAAACTTACCAAGGTATCATCAAGTCCAAAAACATTTTCATCGTTCTTGTTAACCAGTATTAAATAGTTTTTCTTATGTGTGTATTAAGGTAAATCTTATCGTAGGTCTTCAATAAAGTACCTCTAATTAAGATACCCCTAATTAAAGTACCTCTGGTTAAAGTAAGAGTACTTTGATCTACCCCTAGTGCTTCCTCTAATTAAAGTATTAAAATAAAGTACATAATTAAGGTACTCCTAATTTAGATACCCCTATTTAAGAGACCTCTAATTAAAGCACCCTTATAATTAAAGTGCTTCTTATTAAAATAACCCTAATTAGGGTATCTAAGGTACACATTTTTATACAGATTAATACATGTAAAAAAAATGATAGTGTTAAAAATATTCGATACTGATTTTTAAAAAATGAATTTAGACTTGAAATTTTTGTTGATTTTGAGAAGTATGTGTTAAGTGAATTATTTAGGACCTATTTAGCCAAATTAAAAAATCAGAGCAATATATATACATTTTAATCTAAACGTTTCGACGATCGATATGAGACATCATTCAGTAATCATTCCAGAAGGAACAAAACATTAAATTAGAACTTTGAAAAATAAAAATATTTATAGAAAACTGAAAACCAAAAAAAAATAAACACCGCAATATACTCGTAACTAGAATTATAAAAAATTTAAAAAATGTTTTACATTTTTTTTGTAATGTAATCGAATTATACTATTATTACACAAATCTAACCTAAGCGAAATCAGGTTTAGGCTGGACTATTAATATGTCCTAGAAATATTTATATGTGGTATGCGTTGCAGTGAGTAAACCACACACTTAATTCGTGCTCCTTTAGCTTATACAAAAATATACTAAAAAAATCTAAAAAAAAATGTTATGACTAAACCAATTAGTTAACAAATATCATTTTTTAACTTTTTTATCTTCACATATTTCTCACAACCAACCTCAGAAATTACAGTATAGGTACGACAATAACATTTTGTATTCAACATGCATTTATTAATTTATTTATAAAGATATATTTTTTGTCTACTTAGTATCCTAGTAAATTTGAAAAAGTCCTAAAATTCACATTTTAATTCAATTTAATTTATTCTCATCAACGTCAGGTACTTGGTTCATAATTTCATAAAGCCGTTTCGAATTTTAAATTCACCTAGATGTCATACATCTAACTATAGAATATAATTAATAACTAGTTTATTATATATAATATATTACATATATATATATATATATATATATATATATATATAGAATTTATTTATAAGTTAATCTCATCAAAATGTAAGAATTATAATTGGAAATATCTAATAGATAAATTACTTGTCCAAAATAAAATATGTGTTGAAATATATACAATATATAAGTAATATGTACAAGTACTAAAAAGAATTTTATATTTCGTTGTTTTTGATTTGTTTTATTATGTTTGTAAATTTATTATGTTAATAAATATATATCACTTAAGCATGAGAAAATTTTTCGCTGCTAAAATGATTTATTTTTTGTATATTAAATGTGATTTTTATGGAATTGACGTTTCGCATTTAATTTTTGAAAAAATAAAATGAAAAGTGCATAATTTTTTTATTCGTTATCAATAGTTTCTGAAGAAGGGAAAACAATTTTTTTGAAAAAAAATGGTACGATGAAAATGTATAAATAAAATTTAGATTTTTTGTTCGTTTATTTGCAGCCAAATAGTCAAAATTAAAAAAAAAACAAGTTATCAACTAATTATTATGTACGTTTCGACACTGAATGTATGTCACCATTCAGCACATAATTGAAAGAAATTTTGAAATAATTGATAAAATTATGGTAACAATCATGTACTAAAAGATCATAATTACGTTGTAATAATTTTCTTATTTATGCAGAATAATAAAAATCTTAGTAATAAAAGTATGGTTTAAATTAATAACATGTTTCGAAAACATAGTCTTTCATTGATTCGGATTTTTTGTATTACAGATATGTTAATTATTTATTGTTAATCATTATTGTAAACTTACCCTACAACATTTAATAATGATTTACAATACAAAACATTTTGTAGAACACTTTTTTAAAATTTGTTAAACATGCTGAATGATGAGACACATACAGCACCAAAACGTATAAAATAAATAGTCAATTATTCATTGATTTTTATTTCGACTATTTGGCTGCAAATAAATATTTTTGGAATATATACGAGGAATAAGCACTGGGTGGTCCTTAGTATGGATATTTTTAAATTTCTTTGCTTACAGGAGCTTAAATGCTTCCAAATTTAAAAAAACATTCGCCTGAAAGTTTCAGCTCTTAATATTAACTTTAAGATAGTCCACACTTCAACCAAAATTTCTTATAAAAATAACATGGGTAAAATTTTATTTGTTTTTCAGAATTTTATAGCGACTAGTAAATCAAAATATTGAGAGTAACATTGTATTTGCTTATATTGATCATAAATAAATAGTTTACAACAAAAATTTTATATATTTTATAAAATATAGCTATAACTTTCCGAGAAATGTTTTTTATGAATTTAGAAGCTTTTAAGCCCTTGGTAGTAAAAAAAATCAAAAATATTCAAATTAAGGACTACCCTATATATATATATATATATATATATATATATGTGTGTGTGTGTGTGTGATTGTGTGTGGGTGTTTTCATCATTGCAAAGTATCTGTAAAACCATTGAAACAATGTAAGCTTAATATCAAAAAATATATTGGAACCAAAATTAGCACCAAGCACATTCCAAAATATCACATAATACCTCACTTATCTTCTCACTTGATCCATTTATAATTTTCTTATTTTCCAAAAATATACAAGTTCTTCTTTTTCTTCTTCGAGTCCATAAATTTCTATTAAATATAAAATTGATTTATTCTACTCTAGTCTATTTCTAACTGGCCTCCTTCTGCCCTCGTTGCGTTATCGTCGACGCGAACCTGGGTAGCAGCAGGCCGAATTTAGTCTCGATTCCGTCCAGGACGGGCAGGGCGGCCTGGTAGCCGCCGACGTGATCGGGCGCGGGCGCCGGCTCGTCGGGTTTGCCCGAGGCGAAGGCTTCGGAACCGGCAGGACGACTGCCGGAAGAGGAAAATGTAATAAACTAGTTGAGAGTGGCATTATGCCTTGAGGCAAGTTGCATGAACTTTCTGACACGTGTAATGACTAGTGACTTAAAAAATCAAAATTAAGATTTAGATATTTAAATAAAATTATTTCAACTGCACGATTACGTTTATCATGTACGTAATCCTTGATATTATTGAATGATTTAAATTAATTGTAACATTTTTTACACAACTAGAGAAATTATGTAGACTTATTTTTCCGCTGATTCCCAAAAAATGGTTTTTAAATTTGTGGTATTCAAATTCTGACTCATCGCATCGCACAAGAGCGATTTTTTTCAAACTTCAATGAATTTTTAAAATTATCCTACTTACCGTAGAGCCGTGAAGTTCAAAATGTTCTTTAGGACTAGGATGCATATGAATATAAAAAATATCGAAAAAAAAATTTAACGGTTTTAATTAAAACTAATCAGCGCAATTCTCAAATTATATATTCTGTATAGTTTTGCAATTTTTAAAATTGAGTCAGAATTTTTGGCTAAAACGTGGACAAACAAATTTCACTTTTCGTTTAATTACTAAGAAACGGCTCGGGCGATCATCGCACAAATCTGATAAACGATAGTCTTTATCGAGATACATCGAATGGCTTCTAAATTATTGAAATCGGTTCAGACGTTTTTGAGAAAACTTCGATGCAAGGTCTAATTTTCACAAACGCCAAAAAATTGTCACTAATTTTTACAAACTTTGACGAATTTCCCAAATTAAACCACTTGTCGTTGGGCCTATAATTTAAGCCTATATTTTAGTATGACCTAAAAGACCATGAAATCTATTGTCAAATAAAAAATCGTAAAAATCGTCGATTCTCAACTAATTTCTTTATATCGATTTTTGAATTTTTAAAACCGAATCAATTTTTTGGCTAAAATATGGATGAATATTTGTCACTTTTTTCCTAATTACTAAGAAATGGCTTGCCGATAGTCCTTATCGAGATACATCGAATGACATTCAAATTTTTTGAACCTATCGAGCCGTTTTTTAGTAAATGTCGATGAATTGTCAAAAATAGGCTCACACACACACACGAACACATCTAATCCCAAATTCAGTCTCATGCGATTCAGAATGATTTAAAACGTCGAGGAAATATAAAATTAGCAAATTCTTTGAGTAATTTAAAAATTTTGCACTTTCTTCTAATTTTATAGAAACTGCTGAGCTTCTTCCATGAATTTTATTGAAAGAAAAATATTTATGTCACTGTTACAAAGCTAATTTTATTAACAAGCATCATTTTATTAAAAATTTTGTGTTTTCTAGACATTTAAAATCATTCTAAATCGTTTGGTATCAAAATAGGGGTTCGTACCAAAATTTGACCTTGACATTTTCATGCTCAACGAATGCAAAAGTTTAAAGCAATTTATACGACTCTTATATCTAACTCATGTTAATGCCTAAGTATAAAATTTTTCAACAAAGTTTTTGCAAAAAATCCTGAAACAATTTTCAAAATTCTAAAATTGTTCGAAAGATATCATTTGGAAATCATGCTGATTACATTTGGAAAAAATCAACCGATGCACTTCTTCGCAATTAATTTTTGAAAATATTTACTTCCACAATTTCGATGAAATTGTTCAAGATGATAGGTATCATGGTCCTAAAGAACATACTAAATTATTCCGGCCCTACGACAAGTCGTTTAATTTCATCAAAAAATTCATCTAATTTTCAAAAAATTAGTTGTGCTTTTCTGGCGTGAATTTAAATTAACCCTTTCAAAAACTAACTCGATTATTCTATCAATTACCTTCCACCAAAGTCAATATAAAACATCCTCTGCAAAAGTTCATAAGTGACCAACGTGACACCGAATTGGGGCGAACTCCTGCAAACCCTTGCTAAGGAACCTTTCCAAAACGCCCTTGCACCTTCTTCCCTGTGAATTTTTCTGGCTGCATCAATCACACCAGTGTAGGAAGTTTGACCTAAAACCAGATAAAAGATATCGATGAAAGTTAAATTCAAATTGAATTATAAATTAGTAACTGAAAATTCGTATCACAAAATGGTGATATATTGATTAAATTAATATTACTTTGGACGCCTATTTAAAAATTTATACAGAGTTTGAGCAAATATGTTGCTTGTCGTTAGTCAAATAAATAATACTTTATAGAGTATTTTTTAAAAAAGACGTTTATCCAAACTCCTGGTATTTGTCGACATTTTTAGTCTCTCTAAATATAACTTAGCACCAAATTGGAAAAAGTAGGCGTATTAGTAATTCAAAATTTGATTTAGTCTCTTTGAAAATAACTAACATATTTGGCAATTTTGTACAAAATTAATAATCCCGTAACTGTTTCTCTAATTATGATACCCTACATCAAGCTGGTACACTTCATATATTGATTTCTTATTAATTTTAAAATTAATAATAAATTTTACTCGTATCGCAAAGTTTGTGCAACTTGTAATAAGGCAAAATGCCACTAACACCTAGTTACTATTATTTTTATTATTATAATAATTTACCTTGTCTTGCAACAACCTGCAACCTGGTTTTGATGACATCAGCAGGAGTCACCAGAGCTGCTGCAGGCACTCCAGAAATCACACCAGCCATAAGCAGAGATAAGGGATGATTATATCTAAATTTATACCGATTATAAGATTTGTATAATAAAAAATATACTTTGATAAAATCGATAAGGTGATGTATTTGTTTTTATTATATAGTAATTTGTACACCTGTCCTGAAATGGCCAACAAGGATTAAAAAAAACTTTAAAAATAGAGATTCTTCTGAGATTGATAAATATTAATGTAACATAATGTTCTGTTTCAATCTTGCCCTGGTAATGTTGTGGTTTTCTTCTCTGGCAAGTGAGTTGGGTATATTTTTATTTTTATATTTATTGGGTATAATTATCATATTTTTATTTTGGCCTCTTTGAATTTTTATGCATTTTATATTTCACCATGATAATTAAATAAAACGATACAAATAAATTTAAGTTCGATGTAAATGGAAAAAATGGTCTACTAACTCCAACTAAACAAAGATGGTGCTGACCCTGAATTTTCAAACACATTTATAATTTAACATAATATAACATAATAGCTATCAAAAATATTTAATCAATTTAATTAATATATTTATAAAAATCAGGGTGCTCTGAGATTCTCTTCCATCCTTCAAATTCAAAACAAAATTTCCAGTCGGAATAATCAGCTTTCATTTAGACAGATATGATTATTCAATAAGCTCAATAAAAATAGCTAAATGAATAAAATACAAAAACATACATAATGTGATATTATAAACTGTAATATTAATTAAAATATAACTTAAACAACTTTTGGGATGATATCGGATAATTGTAAGTCTTCTTATTATATTTTTATCCAATTTGATTCAATAATAAATTACTATAATGTATTATTTTTTTACCCTTGTTCGTCCGCCAGGGCCGCTTTAGTGTGGGCGTATGTGGGAAAGTAGATCGCGCTGAAAGGCATGTCTCGCAAAAGACAGGCCCGGAATCCCTTGTAGAGCCCGAAGAAGCCCAAATCGCGCACCACCGAAAGGGCACTGATCTTGCGGCCGCCGTCTGCTAATTCACCAGCAACCTGGTAAGTGGTAAAATATAAATTAGTAAGAGTTAATAAGGTATCCAGGAATTAAAGATCATGAACTCATAGCTGAATTCTATATATTTTATTCAAGTAAATAAAATTAAAATTTCAATATAAAATTTAAATCTAAATAAAAAAAAATTTTTTTTGGCTATAATTATGAAGATGATTTTATTTTATATAGTTTATTATATAAATTGATGTCTGAACTCCTCCTATTTTATTCGATATTGATAAAAAAGCATACTAAATCAAATTGTTTAATTTATATGGTTTGCTTAATATATACTCGTATATATATGCGTTAATTAATTTTTTAATATACTGAATGTTGTTATTATGAGTGAAAATGCTATTTATTATTTAAGGTTTGGAGAAAAAAATCAATTATTTTTATATGAACTTTTACATGAAAAAATAGTGGTTTTCTTTTTCCCCAAACTAATAGATAGATACTGATATAATATAAAACGTCTATCGCAACTCAGTTTATTCAAAAATTCGATTAGTAAATTTTATCTAGTTTTTAGTAATGTCAACAAAATATAATACCCAAAATGAAAATTGAAAGTTTTTTAGAAAAAAGTGAGAATTGTACTAAATCCATAAAATACTGAAGACCGCATTTCAACTATGAATTATTGAAAATTCTAATATCAAAGAGTATACAAAGTTTCCTACTAGATTTTAGTAAATTTTGTCTAGTTTTTAGTAATATCAACAAAATATAATTCCCAGAATAAAAATTAAAAGTTATTTGAAGAAACGTAAAAAAATGTTCTATAATTATATAATGCACATTATGGAAATACTAAAGTCCGCATTTCAACTGCGATTTATTCAAAATTTCAATATGCATGTGTATATAACAGTTTTTACTAAATTTTAGTCAATTTTATCTACTAAAGTAAAAAAAAGCTAAATTTATATATTGCATTTGCAAATTATATAAATACTAAAGTCTGCATTTTTACTATGAATTGTTCAAAATTTCACTATCCCAGTTTATACAACAATTTTCACTAGATTTTAGTAAATTTTATCTACTTTTGAGTAACGCAAACAAATTATAATGTCCGAGATGAAAATTAAAAGTTATTTGAACAAAAGTAAAAACATGTCCTAGATCCATATATTGCAATTGCAAGTTATATAAATACTAAAGTCTGCATTTCAACTACGAATTATTCAAAATTTCAATATCCAAGTGAATTTATTAACTTTTACGAGATGTTAGTAAATTTTGTCTAGTTTTGTGTGATGTATATAAAACAAATACATAGTCCGGAACAAAATTTCCAACGTATTCCAAAAAAATATAAAAAAATGTCCAAAATTATCACACTTTTTTAAATATATTACAAGAAAAATGTTCCAAACGAAGTTTTATTTAAAATTTCATTATGCTTTTCCTAAATTTTACTAAATTTTATTGAATGTCTATTTTTACTAATATAATATTAAAATGTCATACAAATATTCTTCAACTTACTTGTAACCGAATTTTGACAATCTCTAAAGGATTCGTAAATATAACTTGTGATGCACCAGCCTGCAAAAACAAAATTCAATTTACAATCAAAATTATAAACAAACTATTTTTTTTTTTCATTTTTAACTTACAGAAGCTCCTGATAAAATTTCAGCATAGACACTAAGATTTCCATGCTTATCCACCAATTTATCGCGAACAAAATCATTCACCGTCAATTTTATGGCCTTTTCGGGGGCTACTCCTATAAGTTGGGGCACTAGGCCTCTGTAAAGGCCTGTGAAACCTTCGTGCCTTAAAACCTTAAAAAATAAATGACTCAGTTAAAATTATCAGCTTTAGTTAATATAATTTTTTTTTTAATTATTCATTTACTGATTAAAATAAAAAATGGCAAAATTACCTTGATGGCATTTGCTTGCTACGGAAAAGAAACACGATTTCAAAATTCGTGAAACATATTCAAAATATTTAAATGACACAACCAAAATGTAAGTGATTGTAAAGTAGCATTTGCTGTGCATTAAAAATTTTGCAAAATTAACACAAGCCAAAAAGCAAAAAAATAAATTTATCCAATTATTCTTGTGGCATATTTTTACCTTTTTGCAACAGTCCCAGGAGTTCCTATAAGCTAATTCGCCAACGAATGATCCAGATCTTTGATTTTGCATCCGAGTTTTTACCAAATCTATGGGATAGACGGCTGTTGCTCCAACAGCTAAAATATAAAAGACACAGGAATGTTTTAGGTCACGTGACTGAAGTAAAACATCTTTAGCCCTATCAAAATTAAATTTTTAGTGTTATAGTATTACTTTCGCTTCAAAAAGATATTTACTAAGTTTGGCTTCGGTCTCATCCCTACTACGATTGTGTAATAACATTATTGAAGTAAAACTTGTTTAGCTTTGATTATATTTATTAACTTTCCGTAGCGTAAGTTATAGTATCTACAAAAATTACAAAATGAAAATTTTTGCATATCCTTCACGTTTCAAAGGTTTCTGAACATTTTGGCATACTCTACAAAAATTACACGATATGTGTGTGTAATATTACGTCAACAATTTCATGAGCACCGCTGAACCGATTTGAATGATTCAAAAAATATTCGATTCCTATTGTCAGTGAGGCGTTTTTATTAGTTTTTAGCCAAGGCAGATCCCACAACTGCGGAGATACGTAAAACATGCAAAAATTGGCAATTCAGTTTCTGAGACAACGAATCATTGGATTAGAATGATCCAAAAATATTTCATTTAGATTGACGGAGTAAAAAATTGTTTAATTTTTACGAAAAGCAGGTCCAGCGGTTTCGGAGAATCAAGCAAAAACGTTAGAAATAGATCTTTTATGATAAAAAATGATTTAAGACGTAAGTACTACCTAAAAAAGTGGTAGATCTAAAAAGTGGTACGACCCAAAAAGTGGTACCACTTAGGAAATAGTATGACCTAAAAAAGTGGTTTGACCTAAAAAAGTGGTACAAACCCAAAAAAATGGTACAATTCAAAAAGTGGTACGACCCAAATAGTGGTACGACCCAAATAGTGGTACGACTTAGAAAGTAGTACGACCTAAAAAAGTGGTACGATCTAAAAAAAATGGTAAGGCCTAAAAAAGTGGTACGATCCAAAAAAGTGGTACAACCCATAACAAGTGGTATCACCCAAAAAAGTGGTGAAAACCCAAAAAAGTGGTACAACCCCAGCAAAGTGGTACAACACCAACAAAGTGGTACAGCCCCAACAAAGTGATACGATCTAAAAAGTGGTACGATCTAAAAAGTGGTACGACCTAAAAAAGTGGTACAACCCCCAAAAAGTAGTACGACCTCAACAAAGTGGTACAACCTAAAAAAGTGGTACGATCCAAAAAAGTGGTTTGGCCTAAACAAGTGGTACGGCCTAAAAAAGTGGTATGACCTAAAAAAAGTGGTACGGCCTAAAAAAGTGGTATGACCTAAAAACAGTGGTACGACCCCAAAAAAGTATGGTACGACTTAGGAAATAGTACGACCTAGAAAAAGTGTTAGGACTAAGACAGTGGTATGACTTAGAAAGTTGTAAGACCTAAGAAAGTAGTACAAACTCAAAAAAGTGGTACGACCCTAAGAACATGTGGTACGACTTAGGAAATAGTACGACCTAACAAGTGATATGACCCAATAAAGTGGTACGACCCAAAAAGTGGTACGACTTAGGATGTAGTACGACCTAAAAAAATGGTACAACCCAAAAAAAAGTGGTGCGAACCCAAAAAAGTGTGGTACGACTTAAGAAGTAGCACGACCCAAGAAGTCGTACGATCCAAAAAAAAGTAGTACGGCTCAAAAAAATGGTAGGAACTAAAAAGTGGTCACACCCTAAAAGTGGTACGACCTACAAAAGTGGTACGACTTAGGCAGTAGGTAAAACTCAGGCAGTGGTGCGACCTAGAAAGGTCGTACAGGTTAATTGGAAATATATATATAGAAAGTGGTACGACTTAGGCCGTAGTACGACTTAAGCAACCTCCTACTTTTCCAAAAATTAAACTTACCTCCAGCTATCGATCCCAGTATAAATCGATATCCACTTTCCAAAATCTGCATAAAAACTCCTCGATCTTCAGGTTTCGAGACAGCTCTGATCTCTGCCAGCCTTTTGGTTATATGCCTTATGTACTGTTCAGGTGCTATCACATTCAGATCATTGTATACAATTCGACTGAAAGATAAATGAAAAAAATATAGATATTATTTAATAAATAAAAATAATTTTTGTGTGCTTTGTGCAATAAGGTGCAAACAACCTGACTTTCACTGGAGTCTTTTTCCCTGCTATCCATTTCCACTTTCTGCAGCAAAGAAATTGTGCAAAAAGCGGTAAGAAATAAAAATAAATTGTTATATTCAAGGTGGCATTAATACATTAAAGTGCAGCAAAATAATCAAGTTAAAAATTGTTACAACTAAAGTTGTTTGTACTAAAGTTTTCCTCCGTCCCTTACCCAGTTTGATGAAGTAGACCGGTAAGTTGATATAAAATATCAACTTCCAAAGGTGTAATTTGGCTCATACATTGTGCAGAATGCAGAAGTTCCTCTTTGCTGACTGCAGTCGTCCTAGATCCACCACTTGCATGAAGATAAACCCTTTTCAACAATTCCATATTGTTTAGAAGACTATTGAAGGCCATGAAGTAGGGGAATGATACTCTTGTTCCATTTGTTATCTGGGATATAAAATATAAATATAAAGCTGGTCAACTACTAAAATCCTTGTAAAATCAATATAGATACTAACCGCAAACAAAATTGTCCTTAACCTGCGTCGTCAGCAAATGGCTTTTTATATTGATCATAATATCCTGTAACAAACCTAAATTACTAAACCACATCCTTACACAAAAACAGTAATTTTTTTACCTGAAAATCTACAGCCGATATGAACCCTGTCCCGTGTTTGTCTCGACTCCTAAATGCTTCCATGGCGTATTCTTCGTGAAAATCGTGCAGGAATTGACTGAATTCAGCGTAATTGATTTGTCTTGTTTTGTTCTAAAAAAATAAAAAATGAGTAAGGATCTAGGCACTCAAAAATAGTTTTTTTTATGATACGTACTTTGCCGAAATATAGTTGTACAAATCCTCCGTCCATGTTGAATGGAATCCTTGAATGTAGTTCAGTCTTTCTCATTATGGAAGCAAACTCGTCTGAAAAATGTAATTGATTAGTTTTTGAAAAAGGCAGGTCCCGCCTTGAAGAGCAAAAAGTGTAAAAAAAATCAGAGAGCGGAGCATCCGATTTGAATGATTTAAGCAACAATTTACTTGTAATGACGAAATGAAGAATTCATTTATTTTTGTAGAACTGGTAGACAGGTAAACAGGTAGATAAATAAAAAATATGAAAAGTAGGCAAATAGAAAAATACATAGGTAAGACAGTAGAAATGTAGATAGACAAGTTACCAGGTAGACAGGCTGAAAGGTAGATTGGTAGAAAATAGAAAGATAGTTAAGCAAGTAGATAGATAGATATGTAGACAGGTAAACAGGTAGACAGGTGAATTGATACACAGGTAAATTGGTCGACAGATGAATTGGTCGACAGGTGAATTGGTCGACAGGTGAATTGGTCGAGAGATAAATTGGTTGACAGATGAATGGGTAGATAGGTGAATGGGTGGACAGGTAAATAGCTAGATAGGTGAATTGATAGACAGGTAAATTAGTAAATATTTGAATTGGTAGACAGGTGAATTGATCGAAAGGTGAATTGGTCCACAGGTAAATTAGTCGATAGATAAATTGATGGACAGGTGAATTGATAGACAGGTGAATTGGTAGACATATAAATTGGTAGACATATAAATTGGTAGACAAGTGAATTGGCAGGTGAATTGGTAGACAGGCGAATTGGCATACAGGTAAATTGGCACACAGGTAAATTGGCAGACAGGTAAATTGGCAGACTGATAAATTGGCATACAGATAAATTGGCATACAGGTAAAGTAGACAGATAAATTGGTAGATAGGTAAATTGGTAGATAAGTTAATTCTCAAAATACACGAATTTACCTGTCTATCAATTTACCTGTTTACCAATCTACCTGTCAACCAATTTATTTGTCTACCTGTATAACTATGTTTCTATTTTCTGCCAGTGGATACTTGTCTATCTGTCTATCTTTCTATTTTCTTACCTAGGTATTGTTTGGACACAGGTAGGCAGATAAACTGATGAAGTGATCAGTGATCAGGTAAAAAAGTGGACAGGTAAACAGGTACAGGGGTAAACTGATGTATAAGTAAACTGATAGGTAGATATATGGGCAGATAAATAGGTAAACAGTTGGATATGATGACAGATAATCATATGAATAGGTAGACAGGTACGTATAGCAAATAAATTTTTTAACTATTCATACAATTTTTATCAATACCCGATCTTCAAACTAGATTTTACGTCACTTTTTTGTTTTTTAATTATTTTCCTTACCAAAGCTTATCGCCCCGCTACTGTTGGTGTCGAATAATTGGAAGGCGGTTTTGTAAAGGGCGTCGGGGGCGCAGAGGGTCCCTTCGAAGGCCTGGAATTCCGGGAATGATATCAGGCCGTCTTTGCTGGTGTCTGCTATTCCGGCAATCAGGCGAACGGATTCTGCGTTGTACGTCAAATCTGAAATAAAGGAAAAAATTATAATAGAATTATTATAACATAACTGTAAACAAGATCATGTTGGAGATTCGGTATTCTTGCTGAACCTATTTTAATTTGATAAATAATATATTCTTGATGTTGGCTCTCAATATGTTGGTAGTCAAAAAATCTACGCATATGGATATAATACGTTTTTTTTAACTATTGATTCTTTTGTCACCGGTTTAAAACGAATCTACAAATAGCACAAATTTCAAAATTTGTTTGTTATTAGTTTGAACTACCTAACTTTATTTCCTTTACTTTTGCCATATAACGTAAAACCTGTGACCGAAAATAGCCATTACAAGTAAGATGTGTATCCCTATAAATCTGGTCGTGGTTCCTTTATTACCTTTGGCGTCGGATTCCTTGGGGTCCGGAAAGAGTCCCAAATATTTTCTGACATAGTCTTCCGGGGTCATGTACAGTTCTCCATCTGGAGCCCTGTACGAGGCGTATTTCAGGAAGATTTCACGCAGGCGCTCCGTGTGCGCCCTACGCAGGTGCGCTGGTCCCTGGAAAAAAAACTAGCTGTAAGTGGAATTCTGTCTTAAGGCTATTAAGGCATCGTGCCTTAAGGCAAATTGCTGGAACTTCCCGTGCCAAAAATTATTATTTTTTTAAAAACGATTAACATTTTTGAAAAAATTATACTTCGAAAAAATAAGATTTTTAGAAATTTTAAATTGGACGAAAAATTACTTTTTTTTGAAAAAAAAATTTTTTTTTAAAAAAAATTTTAAACAATTTTTTTTTATAAAAATTTTTTTTTGGAAAAAATGTTATCTTCATTTTGACATATTTTGGAAGATCTGAACTTTATTTCAAAGCAATCGTACTGCTTTAACTGCATAAAGACAAAATATAAAGCGCGTAAGCGCCGCGTCGCTGTCTAACGGAAAAAACATTGGTACGGAACCCATAGGAATGTAAACAAAACTTATACTTATTGTTAAAATCTCAATAAAATATCTGATAATTTGATATGCATATGTCTAATGTCTAATGATTATTGTTGACCGCCAAATGTTATTTTTTTTTAGTTTTTTATACTAGATCTCCGAAACCGCTAGACCTATCTTCATGAAAATTTGATCAAATCTTCATCTTGTTAATACAAGTAAAATGTTTTTTGAACTATACAAATCGGACGCTCCGTTCTCTTAAAAACTGAGTTACCGTTTTTGGCCCTTTTTGCCCCATATCTTCGGAACGGCTAGACCTGCCTTTGACAAAACTAATCAGCACGTCTCCTTATCAATACGAATCGAATGTTTTTTTAATTATTCAAATTGCTTCATCCGTGTTCCCAAAATCGTCGACGAAAATTTGTATCCGAACACACACACATGCACGCACACACACACACACACACACACACACATACATCAATTTTCTCCAAGGTATGCCAACATATTCAGAAACCTCTGAAACGTGAAGATATATAAAAAATTTCATTTTCGATTTTTTTGCGATTACTTACCCTATGGAAAGTTAATTATAAATAAATCAATTTAATATCTCCAGAACATTAACAATCGTCATTTCATTTCGAATCAAATTCCAAAAAAAAAATAGTTGCCAAATTTACACAAAATTGAAAAAGTGCTCCCGCATAGTCACAGTCTAAACGCATTTGCAAATAATTCTGTGCGACATTTTCACTTATACTGTGCTCAGCTTGGCGGCATTTTCACATTTTTCAATAATTTTCACAAAATTGGAAAAGTGCTCCAGTACACAAACAGTCTAAACGCAATTGGGTAAACATTTGTACGAGAGTGGCAGTTAGACTGTGCTTAGCTTGGGTGATTTTTTGAATTTTTAATCCAAAATTACAAAAAAATTTTTTTGAAAAAAAAATTAGAAACAAAATTTTTTTTTTTTTCCAAAATCAATTATTTTGTTGAAAAAAGCAGAAAGTTCTTTCAATCATCTAAATCGGACGCTTAGTTCTCTCAAAAACAGCCATTTTTTTTAAATTTAGCTCTGTATCTCCGAAACCTCTGGGCCTACCTTTGCCAAAAACTAATCAGCACATCTCCCTATCAATAGGAATCGAATGTTTTTTAAACCATTCAAATCGGTTGATCCGTTCTCTCAAAAACTCGCTTTCTATTTTTTGCACTCTTTGCTCCATATCTCCATAACGGCTGGACCTGCCTTTGCCAAAAACTAATCAGCACATCTCCCTATCAATAGGAATCGAATGTTTTTTAAACCATTCAAATCGGTTGATCCGTGCGCCCGAAAACGTGGACGAAAAAACGCGGACATACAAAACACACACACACACACACACACACACACACACATCCATTTTTTCTGAGGTATGCCAAAATGTTCAGAAACCTTCAAAACGTCGAGAAATGTAAAAATTTTTGATTTCGATTTTTGGACGATTACTATAACTTACCCTACGGGAAGTTAATAAATAAATAAATAAAATATTCAAAAAATAAATCGAATAAAAATCAAAGACTTAATGGAAATCATTACTCTAAAATTTTAGAGTCTAAATGTTTCGACATAATTTGACTTCATCTTCAGAAATAAGAAGATATAGAAATAGCATAACGTAATGCCAATAATTTTGTGGTACTAATTAAATAAATAAATATTATTATAATTATACATATTTTAAAAAAAAAAGATAACACGAGAGGATAAACTTGTTATTTTTGTTGTGGTTTGTTATAAAAATACAGTACAGACGACAACGTTAGTTGTTTTCCTATATATTTTATTGTCACTGCCACTTTGCCGTTACTTCAATTGTAATTGCTTTTGCATTCCATAGAGGCACCACCAACTACAGCTCGTAAATTTACCCCTAGGTTCAATTCCAGGAAAAGATTTTTATAAATATATAATAAAGAAAGGATAAAACTGTTTAATTTAAATAACAAATATTTAAAGAACAAAAAATAGACGTAAAAAATAAAATACAAATATGTTTTGACAAAAATATAAAATATAAAAAATATCAAATGTTTGAAGTACTAGTATAATAATAATAAGATAATAAGTTTTTTAAAAATTTTAGGCTTGAAGGAATTTAGGCACTGTACTCGTAGACCCTCTGGTGAGTGCAAAAAACACTAAAATTGAGTAATTTTATTAAAAAAATTATGAAAAAATGTCAATGTGCGTAAGTTGCAGCAATGCCCCCAAAAGACTATTTTTATATGAAATGTATGATCTCAAGTAAAAATTTAGAATCGTACTGCTCGATATCGAGATGGGCGATCAAATAAAAAGGGGATAACTATCACTAATAAGAACAGGTTCTTTCCTAATAAAAATATACATCAGAATCTAAAAGAGTACTAGTATTAACACGTTAAACGCCACGGTAATATCGGAAAAAATCCTATGCTTCATTGTAACTTTGTTAGATATTTTAGTTAAAAATGTATCAACGAAACTTAATGTATCACAGAACAAAATTGTTTTCTTAGCGTCAGACACATATGGACATGGTTAAATTGCCTTTCAGCAACTCGACATGAAAATTCACAAAATATCACAATTATTATTTCTAAATATAAAAAACCAAACGTTTTCTTAAGAACTATTTTGCCCATTAGAAACTTCATTCACACTTTGTACACACTCACAAAACTGCTCTACACCAACATGAAATTTTTCTATATTACAATTATATTTACTTTCTCATTTTCCTTAATTTTCAAATTAATCATCATCAAAAATATCCTCTTTTTAATAAACTGACTTAAATAATGATTTCATGCACTACAAAATCATGTCGATGACTGATGACGAAAAAAAAACTCGTACTATATTTGTTTTTTTCGAGTCTTATCAGAAAGTATACTTATTATCTTATCAGTATTGTATTTCCAGTATTAATTATGTGTTTATTTATTATCAATGAATTTACTCATTTATAAAATAAAACGAGGATAAAAATATTCAGTATATATTAAATTAATATGAAAATTGGTTTGACAAAAATTTCCATTTTTTAACCACCTGATTCTTAGTTTGAAAACAAACACTTCTAAATTCTATTACTAATATATAATTAGCGTTCGTTTCAAATTATATTAAGACTAATTAAGACTCTGAAAAAAATATTCAAAATAAATTTATCAGACTTTAGGTGTTTTTTCGCAAAAAAAACTGCTCAAATGTTGTTCTTGAAATATAAATCTTGTTTGTAAAATTAAAAACTTTAGTAGGCCAAGTTCATTTCCTAAATACTTCGCACGCGCAACTACAAGATATTTTTAGAAAATTGACGAAAATATTAGATTTCTATAATGTCGTGTTATATTTTTGGTAGAAGATTAATTTAATTAATTAATTATAGAATTTGAGAAGTATCCGATGTCATTTTGCATATTATAGTTAATTTTTTCAACAATGTTTTCTACACTGAAGTTTCTTTACAATTAGCTGATTAAATCCAAATTTTTCTCAATAATTTTGGTAAAAAATCTAAACATATATTTCTACTAATAAGCTACTAATGAGCTAACGATTTTGTACTAATGAGCCTTTCACCTAAATTAAGGTTTCATCCTAGGACAAAAAATATTCTAAAAAAATGTTTTAAAAATAAATAAATTATAATAATTTGTTAAAAGTATTAATGAACAAATACAAAAAAATGTATTGATTTTTTTTTTAAATATTTAAAATTTATTTATTATTTCAACTTAAATATTTATATTTATATAATTATATAATATTAACATACTTATTGAGAAATAGTTAAGCCACATATAACTAATTAAATTTTAATACATTTTTAGTATAAAATAATGTCACCCCGGAACGAAAAAATTTGATGCACATCCAGTTTTTTTTATAGTAATGTAAAAAACTAAATAAATAAGTATATAAATAATAAATTAAAGAATGTAACCATTAAATCAGCGTCAGTTCAAAGGGCTCATTTTATGTTTTTATTTTTCCTTAGAGCAAAAATGTTTTCGTATATTTTAATTGAGAACAAGTAATAAATGTTGGCCTCCCTAAATATTTGTTTATTTTTTATTAAACACATATTATCCAGAAAATTCACCCTCTTACCACAAACCCCTATTTTATAAGAATTATTATAGTAATTTCATCAGCTTTCATCTCGATTTCTATCTGTGACTGAAATTCGATTGAAATTATGAAAAAGCTCAATTTTAAATGAAAAAAAAATAATAATTTCATCAAGGGTTGTCAAACTCTAATACTTATTTTTTTCAATGTATTTGATCACTTTACTTAATTTTTTCAGAAGAGACATTGAAAAATGCATGTCCCCAATTTTGATTTTTCTGTTACACTTACCAAATTTATTTATTGATCAGTTTTAATAGATAATACAATTACAATAAAATTGCTTAAAGTTTTTTTTTCAAACATTTCACTATATATTGTTAAAACATGTATAAATATATTCTTTAAATTTTGAAATCATTAAATAAGTATTTTTTTAATAAAAATTCCCAAAAATCACCTTTTTTATCATTAAATTTATTTTTTTTACCTT